CCTGTAACCTGTATGTTAGCCCCGTGTCCTGCAGGGGAGCTGGTGTCAGTGTCTCTGAATGAGGTGGTGCGGCTGCAGTGTCCGGCAGCGTCGCAGCTGTCCCAGCAGCAGTGGGAGCGTCCCAACAGCCGGCTGTCCTCAGACCTATACTTGGAGCTGGAGGATGGGAGTCTGAGCTTCGTGGCCACTCCGGCCACACTGGGCCACTACCTGTGCCTGTCCACAGAGAATGGCTACCGACAGATCATAGCCATCTATCATGTGAAGCAGAAGAGCAGCCCCATGACTCAGAGCCCCACCGGCCACACACGGACCACACACACCACTCAGACTGCAGCCAGCTCTGGACCTCACACCTCTGTACGGAGCTGGCCTAAAACAACAGAATGGAGACGAACAGACACTAAGCTGTCTGTTACAAACACTCAGGTCACCACCCGACAGCTGGGCACAAACCTGACTCTGTGGACGGAGTCCGAACTGAGAGAAGCTGTGTTCCCTGCTGAGGAGTCCCTGCTGTCCCCCCGGTGTCCCCACTACCTGAAGGAGCTGGTGGTTGTGTCCATTCTGCTGGTCCTCTGCCTCAGTCTGCTGATCACCATGAGTCTGTGTGTCCTCAGACAGCGCTACCAGAGGAAAACATCCCCCCAGGCAGGACCTCTGCCTAGAGACTCTAACAGGGAGACCCCTGAGGAGGAGGAGGCTCTGAATGGAAATGAGGTTTTTAACAAACACAGTGGTTCTCCTTTGCATGGTGGACAGTCCAGCAGTCTGGTTTGTAATGGAACACTTACAGACTCAAGACAGCATTTGCCAAACACTCCTATCTGAGCACCAGCTGATTTTTAACTCTACAGATGGAGAGGACAACAGTCCCGGTACCAGTGTCACCTTCAGGACTGTTGGTCAGTGATGGGTGGAAGAAGGGACTGGTTTGGGTTACTGATAGTGAGACATAAACACTGGGAGCTCTGTGATTCTGAGTGAGCCTAAGAGACAAACATGTCTTCTTCTACTGCATCAGTGTCCACATGTGACACATCAGAAACATCTTCAGATGTTCTGAATGTTCTGGAGTTTGTCACATTCTAGAGTCTGAGTGCATCCAGCACATCTTGTTCTTTATGTAGAACAGATTTTCAAAGGTTGGTGGGGGGGTGTTATCTATTTTCCAGGCACATAAAGTCTATACCACAATCAACTTCAGTAAAATTGTCTACGTCCACACTGCAGGTTAATCCTCAATTCTGATGTTTTGCAAAAATGTAACTCGCTGTAACATGGATACTTGTTAGCATGTTGATTATTGCGAAGTTGTTGTTCAGTCAGATTGGATTAAATAACTATCTGACATGTTTAGTTCAGTGTTTATCTCTGAACCTGCCTCCAGGTTAGAACCTGCTCCGGTGCAGCATTTTATTTTTGGAACAAAGCAAAGCGCTAAAAGTAAAGTACGGATGGAGGAACTTCAGCATGGACATGGTCTGTGTCGTTACTTTTCTATATTTCTCCGTCATCCAGGACATGAAAAATTAAAAGAACAAATACTTCTGTTCTGTAGCTGAAGACAAGATTTAAACTGCACAACTCGAGGTTAGTATCATTATTATATGGATGGATCCTTCACCCCATCCTCCCAGATGTAACGCAGATGAAATGTGACATGAGCGTTCTGTCTGCAGTCGCTTTGAAAAGCATCTGATTTGTGTCTGATTCAGTACCACATACTGAAAAGGACTGGGTTGGATTTGAAAAAAAAAATCAAAATTTTCTTGTTCAGACTATCGTGAAAATAATTAATTTGGGTGACATTAGCCTGCAGTGTGAATGTATGTTTCAGTTGTTTTGAAAAAGCTGTTTATATCAAAAATAAATTAGACTTTGCATCAGTCTATCTAAATGCCTTGAACTTGGCCTCTGTCTCTTTAAGAACATCCTACCGTTTCTAACACTCCCACTTCAGCATATCTTCAGCTGTAGACTTTGGGTAATAGGCTGTGTACTCTGCCCCATTTTAAAGGGTAGAGTACCTCTGCAACTAGAGGTATAATCATCAGATTTTGACATAGTTTGTTTTCTTCAAATGTTGCAGAATCGTATATGTGGCTGCGAAGCTAACATATAAAATTTTCCCCCACATGAAGCCATGACAAGGTCCTATCAAATAAAATTCAAGTTGATCCAACCAAGAGAAGCTGTTGGTAAGAGGGGAGTAGTCACACCAGGTTTGTATTTATTTGAGAAAACAGAAATGTGCCTTGACTGCATTTTAGTTTTTTTTTTTTTTTTTTTGAACTGCAGTTCCCTTCTGATTTCATCTTTATCACTGAACAATTTGACCAAGTGTTCAAATGACGCTGTGTGTCACTCTGTATTTTTACCTGCTCCTCAATAAAACCAGATTCCAACTCACAGGGTCTCTTTACTACTCTTCCCTCACAAATGTAGGTAGAGGACCAGAGTCCACATGCTGAAGCTTGGATTCAGTACTATATTCTTTAGGGGCTAGAGATGTTTGTAAAGCTCAAAATTTGAACAAATTTGAAGGATCGATGTAATTCAGTACAAGGAATAAGACTGGAATAATCTGGAAAATTATTATAAAAATGCTGGCTCAATAAATTTGTTTGAGAGAATGATAAAAGTTTGTTAATGAAATATTAATTTGAATGTATGTTTATAAGACCTGTTGTTTGGGAAGGAGATAAAGGTTTTTTTACGTTATTTGAAGATTATTGTTTGAATTTTTAAATAAAAACAGCAGGTAAAATAAGTATTGAACACGTCACCATTTTTCTCAGTAAATATATTACTAGAGGTGCTAATGACATGAAATTTTCACCAGATGTTGGTAACAACCCGGGGTGTCCCGATACCAGTTTTTTCAAGACTGAGTACAAGTACGAGTACTTCAGTTTAGGTA